GTGGTGCGATCTCGGCTCACTGCAACATCTGCCTTCTGGGTTCCAGTGATTCTCCTGCCTCAGCCTCTTGAGTAGCTGGGATTACAGGTGCCTTCCACCATGCCTGGCTAATTTTTGTATTTTTAGTGGAGACAGGGTTTCACCATGTTGGCCAGGATAGTCTCAATTTCCTGACTTTGTGATCCACCCATGATGAGCCTATATTCTGAAAATGCATTGGTAGGCAATTTCATCATATGAAAATAACAATGTACCTTCACAAACCTAGATTGTATAGCCTACTACACATCTAGGCTGTATGGAAGAGCCTATTGCTCCTAGGCGACCTGTATGTCAGGTCACTGGAGAGAATACTGTAGGTAACCATAATACAATGGTAAGTATTTGTATTTCTAAACATATCTAAACATAGAAAAATACAACAAAAATATGGTATAAAAGATGAAAAAATGGTACATTTGAATAGAGCACTTGCCATGAATGGAGCTTGCAGGATTGCGTGTTCCTGAGCGTGAGTCAGGGAGTGAGCAGTGAGTGAATGTGAAGGCCCATGACGTGACGGCCCATGACGTGACTGTAGGTTTGGGCTGTAGACTTTATAAACACTGTACACTTAGGCTACACTAAATTTATACAATTTTATCTCCCTCAGAAAATAATTTTTTTGAGATAATTTCACTCTTGTTGCCCAGACTAGAATGCAATGGCATAATCTCGGCTCACTGCAACCTCTGCCTCCCAGTTTCAAGTGATTCTCCTGTCTCAACCTCCCAAGTAGCTGGGATTACAGGCATGTACCATCACACCTGGCTGGTCTTGAACTCCTGAACTCAGATGGTCCACCTGCCTTGGCCTCCCAAAGTGCTGGGATTACAGGTGTGAGCCACAACAACCAGCAGATAATACATTAATTTTAACTTACTGTAACTTTTTTACTTTATAAACATTAAAATTAAAGAAAATTTTGACTGTTTTTTGTTTTGAGACAGAATCTAGCTCTGTCACCCAAGCTGGAGTGTGGTAGTGTGGTCTTGGCTCACTGCGACCTCCACCTCCTGGGTTCAAGCAATTCTTGTGCCTCAGTCTCTGAAGTAGCTGGGACTATAATTGTGTGCCACCACACCTGGCTAATTTTTGTGTTTTAGTAGAGATGGGGTTTCACCATGTTGGCCAGGCTGGTCTCAAACTCCTGGCCTCAAGTGAACTGCCCACCTCGGCCTCCCAAGGTGCTGGGATTACAAGTACGAGCCACTGCACCTGGCCAATTCTTATGTAATAACTCTTAGCTGAAAATATAAACACATTGTACAGCTGTACAAAATATTTTTTTTTATATTTGCATTCTATAAGCTTTTTCTGTTTAAAAATAATTTTTTTTTTGCTTTTTTTTTTACTTTTTAAACTTTTCTGTTTTAAAAACTAAGACACAAACACACACATTAGATTAGGTCCATGTAGGGTCAGGATCATCCACATCATCGTCTTCCACTTCCACATCTGGTCCCACTGGATGGTCTTCTGGGGAGCTGTCATCTCCTATGATCACAATGCCTGCTTCTGGATGCCACCTGAAGGACCTGCCTGAGGTTGTTTACAGTCACCTTCTCTTTTCTTTTTCTTTCTTTTTTTGAAATGGAGTCTCACTCTGTTGCCAGGCTGGAGTGCAGTGGTGCAATCTTGGTCCACCTCCTGGGTTTAAGCTATTCTCCTGCCTCAGCCTCCCAAGTAGCTAGGATTCAGGCGTGTGCCACCATGCCCAGCTAATTTTTGTATTTTTAGTAGAGACGGGGTTTTGCCATGAATGGTCTCGATCTCTTGACCTCGTGATCTGCCTGCCTTGGCCTCCCAAAGTGCTGGGATTATAGGTGTGAGTCACTGTGTCCAGTCTCTTTCTCTCTCTCTCTTTTTTTTTTTTTTTTTTTGAGACCAAGTTTCGCTGTTGTTACCCAGACTGGAGTGCAATGGCATGATCTCGGCTGACCGCAACCTCCACCTCCTGGGTTCAAGCAGTTCTCCTGCCTCAGCCTCCCGAGTAGCTGGGATTACAGGTGCATGCCACCATGCTCAGCTAATTTTTTGTATTTTTAGTAGACACGGGGCTTCACCTTGTTGACCAGGATGGTCTCGATCTCTTGACCTAGTGATCCACCCACCTCGGCCTCCCAAAGTGCTGGGATTACAGGCTTGAGCCACCAGTGCACTCTAAAACAACAATATAAAGTATAGTCTCGTAAGTACATAAGCCAGTCACATAGCCATTTATTTTCATTATAAGCTATTCTGTCCTGCACATAATTGTATGTGCTATCCTTTACACAACTGACAGCAGAGTAAGTTTGTTTATACCAGTATTGCCACAAACATGTGAGTAACTTGTTGCACTGTGACATTATGATGCCACAATGTGATAGAAAATTTTCAGCCCAATTGCAGTCTATGGGACCATGGTCATACATGTCATCTGCTGCTGATGAAAATGTTGTTATACAGTGTGTGACCACAGCACGAAGCAAAAGCATTCAGACACACAGGAGAACATATTGCAATTATACAATACTCAAAAGCAGGCAAATTTAGTATATGGTATCAGAGGTCAGAACAGTGGACCCTTGGGGGGTGTTAATGAAAAGGACGGAGTGATGGGAAGTTTTGGCATTGCTGGTAATGTTCTACATCTTGATTTGGGTCTGGTTACACAAGTGTGTTCATTGTAAAAAAATTCATCAAGTTCACTATACTTCAGTAAAAAGATGTTTACTTATAAAACACAAAGTAAGTAAATAAATATGCATAAAGTCTTTTTGAGAAATCTTTGAAAGGGAAGCAAGTCATTATCAAGTCAACTTTTCCCCTTCCCACCCCGCCCTGAAGTTTTTTACTTGAAGAAAAAAAATATTTCCTTTTCGGAATCCTCATACTCTCCAGTTGAAGGCTGAGTCCAATTTTAAGTTTGCAGAGTAGCTGGAAAGTTGAGAATATCCTTCCAGGAAATGGGTCCTGAATTGTTTGAATATGTTTCACAGGTTGTAAAAACAGTCTTGGTGGGAATTTTAGCTTCAGCATTTAGCCTACTTCCAACTGCATTTGCCTTCGAAACCCCAGTGACTAATCATCTCAGGTCTTGACAATGAGATTAAGATGAGTTTGGAAGTTCAGACACAAAAGGGATCAGTTACTAGCAAGCCAGTTTCTCTTTGTTGCGGCTTTTCAATAATGCAGACATTCCCAGTGGGCTCCCCCTTGTGTGAATGGAGATGTTCTCTAATTACAAGGTTCCACACAACACTTTAAAGTTCCTTTTCATCTCACCACACTTATTTGTTTTCTTGTTGATTTATTTATAAATATGCCTTAAGAAATTCTGTGGTGAAAGAGACTAAAAATAAAAGGGCCAAGTTCCTTTCTTCTGGAATCACAGAATCTAAATGTATGGAAACTGTAAGAATCATTTAGGCCGGGCGTGGTCACTCACGCCTGTAATCCCAGCACTTTGGGAGGCCAAGGTTGGCGGATCACGAGGTCAGGAGATCAAAACCATCCTGGCCAACATGGTGAAACCCCGTCTCTACTAAAAATACAAAAAAGTAGCCAGGTGTGGTGGCACATGCCTATGGTCCTAGCTACTCAGGAGGCTGGGGCAGGAGCATCGCTTGAACCTGGGAGGTGGAGGTTGAAGTGAGCTGAGATCACACCACTGCACTCCAGCCTGGGCGACAGAGCAAGACTCTGTCTCAAAAAAGAATCATTTAGACAGTCATGCCTATGCCTCCAGAGTATTGGGGGAACCATATTTCTTTCTTTCCTTTCCTTTCCTTTTCCTTTTTCTTTCTTCCTTTTTTTTTTGAGGCAGGGTCTTGCCCTGTTGCCCAGGCGAGAGTACAGAGTACAGAGGTACAATCATAGCTTACTGCAGGCTTGGCCTCTGGAGCCCAAGTAATCCTCCCACCTCAGCTTCCCAAATAGCTGGGACTACGGGTGTGCACCACTATGCCCGACTATTTTATTTTATGTAGAGATGGGGGTCTCACTATGTTGCCCAAGCTGGTCTCAAACTCATGGGCTGAAGCAATCCTACCTCCTCGGCTTCCCAAAGTCATGGGATGACAGCCGTGAGCCATGCACTTGGCCTGGAACCATATTTCTGAATCTTCATGTTTGTATATAAATTAACTTCCATTCCAGTTCCTTAAAGGGAAAATTGGAAGCATTAGGAGGGTCACTTCTGCCCTTCTCTCATCTGCCTTCACCTGGCGCCTTATTTGTGTGGTGAGACTGGGAAAGCACTGAGCACTCTGCACCCTGGTTCCCCATCTCTGGAAGCCTGAAGCCTCGCTCCTTTGTCGCTGAGGTGGTAAAGCGCTTCCTGACAAGGGTGCTATCTCTGCAGGCAGGGAGTGTGTGAACCGAGCTCATGGCCATAGGTACTAGGAGATGGACTGGGCTACAGATCCAAGCTGGCTTCTCCAATCTGCTCTTGTCTGTAATAAGCACCCATTTTAATCTCTTTCCTCCTGGCTTTGTGTCTTGTTCTTGACTGGGTTCATTCCCTTCGATTTCAGATGGCCACACGATGCCTAGCCACTGAATATTCTGCTCCTTCTATGAGGCTCAGGAAGTGTGGATGTATTGCCCTGCATAGTGAGCAGATTACACTGTTAGAAAGAAAAGATTTGCTAGGTATTAGAAAGGAGAAAAGGAGAGCGAAAAATGTACAAAGAAAAACAAGAAAAATAAAGGAGTTTGTCTTAGTTCTAGCTGCTATATCAAAGTACCCTAGCCTGGGTGGCGTTTCAACAATGAACTTGATTCTCTCACAGTTCTGGAGGCTGGGAAGTCTGAGGTGTCAGCACGGCTGAGTTCTTGTGAGGGCCCTATTCTGGTTTATAGACTGCCGACTAACTGCTCATTAGATCATCTTTTATAAGGGAACTAATTCCATTTATGAAGCCTCTACCCTCATGACCTGATCACTTCCTTTTCTTTCTTTCTTTTTTTTTAAGATGGAGTCTCACTCTGTCACCCTGTCACCCAGGCTGGAGTGCAGTGGTGGGATCTCTGCTCACTGTAACCTCCACCTCCTGGGTTCAAGTGATTCTCCTGCCTCAGCCTCCCAAGTAGCTGTTACTCCAGGTGCCCACCACCAAAATCGGGTAAGTTTCATATTTTTAGTAGAGAAGGGTTTCACCATGTTGGCCAGGCTGGTCTCAAACTCCTAACCTCAGGTGATCTGCCCACCTCCACCTCCCAATGTGCTGGGATTACAGGCGTGAGCCACTGCGCCCAGCCTGACCTGATCACGTCCTAAAAGCCCCAGTCCTAATGCCATCACATTGGGGATTGCAATTTCAACATATGAATTTCAAGGGTGGACACGACATCCAGACTAGAATAGAGTTAAACATTGAAATGCTGGATTCAGGAATTCAGCTGCCTGCCGTTCTCATTAGTAGTATTGCTGTCTAAAAAATCTACAAGAAAGGTGGCTTTATTATTTTTTCTGATGATACAGGTAATACTCATGAAGAAAACCTGAGCAACAGAATAATATAAAGAAAGAAACTGAAAATGCACCTAAAATCTTAATAGGGTGCTCACTAAATGTTTTGTGAAGAATTCTTCAGAGAAGGGATGTGGGAAAGTCTTCTGGAGTCCTGGAAATGTACTATATTTTATTTTGTTGGCAATCACATGGGCATATACAAAGTAAAAATGTATCAAGCTAACACTTCAGATTGGTGCAATTGACTGTATTTATTTTATGTATCAATTAAAAAATACTCCAGATATTTCACTCTGTATGTACAGGAGTAGAATTAAATTACCCATACTGTTTTGTTACGTGTTTCCCAAGGAATCATATTACAGAACTTCTCCTTGGTAGTACATTTACTCATACATCTTTGTCTTAGATAGGGATATTTGGTGTCAAGATTTAGAATCTTATTACAGCTATGCTATATGATCTGAATGTTTGTGTTTTTCCACCTCCTGAAAAAAATTCATGTGAAGTCCCAAGCCACAAGGTGATGATATTAAGAGGTGGGGCCTTTAGGGAGGTAATTAGATCAAGGGGATGGCAATTTCAAAAGTGGGATTTTTTAGCGCCCTTAAAAAAGAAAATAAGCTAAGGTGGCCAGGCATGGTGCATGGTGGCTCATGCCTGTACTCCCAGCATTTTGGGAAGCCGAGGCAGTTGGATCACCTGAGATCAGGAGTTCAAGACTAGCCTGGCCAACATGGTGAAACCCTGTCTCTACTAAAAATACAAAAAATTAGCTGGGTGTGGTGGTGGGCGCCTGCAATCCCAGCTACTCAGGAGGCTGAGGCAGGAGAATTGCTTGAACCCAGAAGGTGGAGGTTGTAGTGAGCCAAGGTCTAACTATTGCACTCCAGCCTGGGCAACAAGAGCGAAACTCTATCTCAGAAAAACAAACAAAAAAACGAAGCCGAGGGAATCTGTGTGCCCCCTCCACCATGTGAAGACTCAGCAAGAAGACACCTATTTATTTATTTATTTATTTATTTATTTATAACAGAGTCTGGCTCTGTCGCCCAGGCTGGAATGCAGTGATGTGAGCTTGGCTCACTGCAACCTTTGCCTCCTGGATTCAAGCGATTCTCCTGCCTCAGCCTCCCAAGTAGCTGGGATTACAGGCACCCACCACCATGCCTGGCTAATTTTTTTTTTGTATTTTTAGTAGAGACAGGATTTCACCATGTTGGCCAGGCTGGTCTCGAACTCCTGACCTCAAGTGATCTGCCCAGCTCAGCCTTCCAAAGGGATTAATCCCCAACTGGGATTACAGGTGTGAGCCACTGTGCCCGATTGAGAAGGCACCATTTATGAGAAATTGGGCCCTCACCGGACGTCTACGGGTGCCGTGATCTTTGACTTACTGGCCTCTAGAACTGTAAAAAATAAATTTTTGCTGTTTTTTGCATATACCCACACTATAGTATTTTGTTGTAACAGCCCCAACAAACTAATACAAGCTAGTTTAAGAAAATAAAGGTTTTAGGGAATTAATCTAATAGGCGTTCTCACAGCATCTTAGTCTAATTTTATCTATTATTTTTTGATGTCTTAATTATCTTTTAACACGTCTTCTGAGCCTTCTCCAATTGATCCTGAGGAAACTTAGAATTCCATGATGCTCTCAGAGGTTAGCTTTGTGGTTTCCATCAGGCTGTTTCCTCACCAAAAAGGTCATTTGATGAAGCTTAGGTAAACCCATGGAGTTCACTGTGTGCACATTCTGTACTGCACAGTATGGCTATGCCTGGAAAGTGCAAAGCAGGAGGAGGAGTATCAGAGAAGGTGACCGAGTCTTACCAACACATCAAAATTGTGTGTCTAATTATGTGGGCAAATGGCAAAAATACCTTTTGTTACTGTCATTGAAATCCATTCAGTGAGTATCTGTTGAGTGAAAACCTAATGTGTGACATTGTGTTGGATTCTGGGGATACAACAATGCATATGACGTTTATCCTGATCCTCAGTGGACAGAGCCCAGTGAAAAGTGGAATGCAGAGTCTAGTGTACAGTGGAATGCCCCTGTTGAAATAAGTTAATAAGTTCCAAGACGGCTATTTCCTGAGCCTCTGGCTTGCCCATGGGTGAGGGCTGCACCAGGGTAATCTCACTGATCATAGTGGTGGATGCCAAAAAGGAAGGACAGGTGTGGAGGTAGAAAGAGTGCAGGAAGGCAGAGGTCTGAAAATGTGGAAGACATCTGGAGGTTGGTATAAGGTGACATGGGCCAGTAGCAGATCATGAAGCCAAACATTGATTCCAGAAATTTGAGACTTGGGTAACAAAAATAAGTGAATCTGGGATATAGGATGATAGGGAATTAAAGTCCTAAAAGAGAGTATGAAGGGTACAGAGGAGTAGGGATGACGCCAAGGTAACTGCTGGCATCTCAGATAAGCGTGTCAGCATGGCTAGGCTCTGGTGAGGGGCTTCTGGTTTACAGACTGCCAACTGCTTATTAAATGATCTTTCATAAGGGCACTAATCCCATTCATGAGGGTTCTACCCTCATCACCTCATCACTTCCCAAAGGTTCCATCTGCTAATGCCATTATGTTGAGGGTTAGGGTTTCAACATATGATATTAAGGCTGAATGCGTTAGGCTTAATGGCCAGGGGAATAAAAGAGAAAACAGACATTAAAGATAAAAAAAAGTGCACACTAAAATTAACTCTAGATGGATTAAAGACTTAAATATAAGACCTAACACCATAAAAACCCTAGAAGAAAATCTAGGCAAAACCATTCAGGACATAGGCATAGGCAAGGACTTAGTGACCAAAACACCAAAAGCATTGGCAACAAAAGCCAAAATAGACAAATGGGACCTAATCAAACTCCACAGCTTCTGCACGGCAAAAGAAACAGTCATTAGAGTGAATTGGCAACCAACAGAATGGGAAAAAATTTTTGCAGTCTACTCATCTGACAAAGGGCCGATATCCAGAATCTACAAAGAACTAAAACAGATTTACAAGAAAAAAACAAGCCCATTCAAAAGTGGGCGAAGGATATGAACAGACGCTTTACAAAAGAAGACATACATGAGGCCAACAAATGTGAAAAAATGCTCATCATCACTAGTCATTAGAGAAATGCAAATCAAAACTACATTGAGATACCATCTCACGCCAGTTAGAATGATGATCATTAAAAAATCTGGAGACAACAGATGCTGGAGAGGATGTGGAGAAATAGCAACACTTTTACACTGTTGGTGGGAGTGTAAATTAGTTCGACCATTGTGGAAGACAGTGTGGCGATTCCTCAAGGACCTAGAAATAGAAATTCCATTTGACCCAGCAATCCCATTATTAAGTATATATCCAAAGGATTATAAATATTTCTACTATAAGGACACATGCACACGAATGTTCATTGCGGCACTATTTACAATAACAAAGACCTGAAACCAACCCAAATGCCCATCGATGATAGATGGGACAGGGAAAATGTGGCACATATACACCATGGAATATTATGCAGCCATCAAAAACGATGAGTTCATGTCCTTTGTAGGGGACATGGATGAACCTGGAAACCATCATTCTCAGCAAACTGACACAAGAACAGAAAATCAAACACCGCATATTCTCACTCATAGGCGGGTGTTGAACAATGAGAACACATGGACACAGGGAGGGGAGCATCACACACTGGGGTCTGTCAGGGGAAATAGGGAAGGGACAGTGGGAGGTGGGGAGTTGGGGAGAGATAGCATGGGGAGAAATGCCAGATGTAGGTGATTGGGAGGAAGGCAGCAAATCACACTGCCATGTGTGTACCTATGCAACAATCTTGCATGTTCTTTACATGTACCCCAAAACCTAAAATGCAATAAAAAAATGAAATAAAATAAAAATGCATGGTAAATGTGGTGGTACTTCTGGAACCAATAAGAACCTGGTTAGGTCCAGCTGCATGATAACAGCAGACCAAGATAAACTGTACTTGATTCTGTTTTAAGTACCACATCTATTGGGGGGGAGGTTAGAAGATTTAATTGCTGGGTGCTTGATTCATAAACAAGATGAGTCATCCCTTCAAAAACAATATGGTATCTTCTGGTATTTTTAGGCGCCCACGCCTGTCCACTTGGGTTATGTCTTGAATAGAAATGACAAGAAACTTGAGTCTTTTCATGATCAAGATATAATTACTACTGAAGATTGATTAAATATACAATGTAAGGCCAGGTGCGGTGGCTCACGCCTATAATCCAAGAACTTTGGGAGGCCGAGGCGAGTGGATCATTTGAGGTCAGGAGTTTGAGACCAGCCTGGCCAAGATGGTAAAACCTTGTCTCTCAAAAAATACAAAAATTAGCTGGCTGTAGTGGTGGGTGCCTGTAATTCCAGCTACTTGGGAGGCTGAGGTTCCAGAATCACTTGAACCGGAGAGATGGAGGTTACAGTGAGCTGAGATCATGTCACTGTACTGCACTCCAGCGTGGGCTACAGAGTGAGACTCTGACTCAAAAACAAAAACAAAAATAAAACCCAAGAAACAAAAAACATAAAATGCATCAAAATATAACTCAAAGTTAATGGCAGTTGGTGGGTGGTCCAGTTTGCTAATTGTTGTAGAATAAGTCTATTACTGTCAACATGAAA